ATGCAGCCCGGTAAATAGAACAAAATGCGCACTCGATGATAGGCAGTAATATCCTGACAACCATTCAAAGGCGTACAAGAGTTGGGCAAGCGTCCCACTCCCATCGCACACGCCCAGGCCAAAACAAAAAAGGGACAACGAGAGGGTTTCCCCGCGTCCCTGGAACCGTGCACCGTGCCACCACCCGGCTCAGCCGCCGACCCCTTCGTGCCACCGCCTGAGCCATCCTCACCAGCCTCCCCGACACCAGGCAACCAAACATGGCAGCGCCCGCGACGCCTCTGCTGGACCAGCGGGCACCTCAGGCCGGAGACCAGGAATTCGCAGCCACTGTCCCAATTGAACTCAAGAACCTTCCGGAATTTGCAGGAGGGCACGTGCCCCTCCACTACATAGCAACACAGGAACGCATTCTGGCCCGGCGACCTCTGACCCTCCCACCCTAACCTGCACGCCGCTCGGGAACGACTACTTCCGGGTCTTGCAGCACTCATTTCCTCCTTCTAAGGGCATAAGGAGGAGCCGGCAGCTCACCGAGACTACAAATCCCAGAGTGCCGTGCGCTGACCTCCGGGGAGGCGAGTCCAGAGAATTTGAATGTTAGTTCGCGTTTTCCGGGCTTACGTGAATCAAAATCTCCAAGTGCGTTGCTGAATGAAGACGTTTCTGAAATTTGTGTAACATTTTAGGCGTATCACTGCGCCTTTACCAGAATCTTTCCTAAAAAAGCCCTATGGAGTAAATATCTCCGTTTTATACGTCAGGAAAATTGAAGTTCAGCGAGACCAGCTCTGAAACTTGACAAAGGTGTGAATTTGGGAGCGTCAAGTCGTCATCCAACTCCTGTGTTCTTTCTTCCAAATACTATCTCAGAAATGCTTCTGTGTTTTTTATATGATTTATTTTTATTTCATGTGGACTTGTGTTTCGTCTAAAGATAATCTGTGTGAAGGTGTCCGTTACAGACAGTTGTTAACCGCCTTGTGGGTGCTGGGAATTGAACCTCGGACCCTCTGGAAGAGCAGCCAGTGCTTTTAACTGCTGAGCCCTCTAGCGCTGCTGTTTTTACCTCAATTTTTTAATGGCACGGTCTCATTATGTAGCCTAGGTTGACCTCGAACTCGTGAACCTCCCCTCCCCCAGCCATAAAGGATCAGAAGTACTAATTTTAACAAGCAGTTGTGTTCTTTTCTTGCATATATTCCTTGTAGCACTTTTTAGCTTCACTTTTTTCCCCCTGTACAACTGTGGACAAGCTATATACCAGCTTCTTCAGCCACTCATTTACAAAATGAGATACTTACCTATCCTTCAGGGGTTTTGTCAGGATTAAGTGGTAATTTAACTGATATCGACCACTGAGACTAGCGTTTGGTGGTGCTTAATTGGTGGGAGTTTTATTGTAAAAATTCCCCACCCACCTCCCTTTTTTTTTTTTATTTGAACCAGGTTTTGTGTAGTCTTAGCTGGCCTGGAACTTGCTGTGTAGTCAAGATGATCCCGAACTCCTGACTCTCCTTCCTCCGCTTCCTAAATGCTGGGATTACAAACACACAACACCATCCGTACTTGGCTTAAATAGAGCCTTCCTGAGGATTTGGGAGGCACAGGGCCTCACACAGGTGAGACTTTGACAGGTAAGTCACAGAACTCAAAAAGGCACTATGCTCTTTTCTCTTGGTGTACTGTAGTACTCCGTTAAGTATTTTTTTTTAATCATGCATTTCCATAAAAAGGCTCATAGGAAATACAAAACAATATCTGAAAGAAGTAGCGTCAACTACGGATTAACTGTTAGGTTGGAGCCTCCAGCTCTCCTCTACATGGCCTGGGAGGCCCTATTTCTGTCTCTCTCCAAACCCCGCCCACTCAGAGATTTTTAACAAAGGAAAAGGCAATGCCAAAAAGTCAAGTTATGAATTCTCGGCAGCTATTGCAGCTTCTTCCCCTGAAGTTGCCAGCTGCCCAAGTCCCCACGTTTGATCCTGCTTGTTCAGAAACGCAGCTGTGGCAGACACATCAGCACCCCTCACCTACAGCGGATAAACTCTCCCTGCCCATGTTTTGCCTTGGGGCTCTTTACCTTTCTTTCCATATTATCTCTTACTTTCCTGCTCTCTCCCAGGTCTGGCTGGCTCGCAGCTGCCTTGCTTCTGGCCCCTGGGCGTGTGCCTCTCTTTCTCCTCATTCTCTTCTTTCTGGTTCTTCCCTAGTTCTTAGATTTATGCTCCTACTTCTTTTCTGCCTACCAGCCCCTCCTCTCCTGGCTAATATTGGCCATTCAGCTTTCTATCAGGTGCAATCAGGTGCCTTAGGGAGGCAAGGAGAAACAAATGCAACTCATCTTTACATAATTAAAGAAATGCAACATAAACAAAAGTAACACACTTTCCCACAGTAATATTCCGCAGCAGAAATAAATGTAACACATCTTTGCCTAGCTAAAGTAGTACTCCACAACACTTCCCTTTTAGCCTTTTGAGCTCTTTGGTGTTGGGTGCAGCTGCATGAATTTGCAGCTTAGCAGAGTACTACAGTATGCCAAGAGAAAAGAGCAGAGCATAGGGCCTCTTTGAATTCTGTGACTTACCTGTCAAGGTCTCACCTGTGTGAGGCCCTGTGCCTCCTGATTCCTCATAAAACAAGGCTCTGTGTCTTGTTTAACACTGCTGTCCCTATCAATGGGACGGGACAATAACTCAGCGTTTCCTGCCCTCCATCAGGATATAACACTCGCAGACACCCCCCAAACACACACACACACAGAAATATCAGTGGACCCGTAATGTAGAATTCAGTGCTCCAAACAAGTGCTTGGGAAACAAGTGACATGTACAACAGGGTAGGCAGGAGTGCCCAGTCCCAGGAGGCTGTGCTTTCAGTGAAAATCAGAACTTACCTTGAACCCAGAGAACAGCGTTTTTCCCTAGTGTGTTAGAAATATTCTGTCGACGCAAAAACCCCAATCAACCCGAATCAGAAACAAGCCGAATTAAAGGCTATCAGGGTTTAGTGGGATTCCTGTGCTCTCGGGTGGCCACAAGAACGCGTCGGGGGTGGTGGGCGGAGCATGAAGGGATTTTGGGGAGCAGTTTAGATAGACTGGGTGGTCTCCTTGAGGGTGGGACCTTCAAAGATGGAGGCCAGAGACCGGGACTTAAAAGTGTAGACTGTTATCCACCATTGAGTTACTTCTGCAGAGTGTCTAAGAACAAAATCTACAAACATGTACAGTTCACAAAGTAACACTTGTTTAAGATTTCCATGAGTTCAGTACTCATATGCTCACATGCATGATACAAGATGAGGGCCAACACTAAATCGCATGCTAATTACATAGCATTTTGACTCCACTTGTAATGGCACGAAATAGCAGTTTGAAGAAACTGGAAAGAGAAAGCTTTGTTTAGAGCCTTGTGTCACCTTTGTGGTACTCTGACAGAATAACTGACAACTTCAGAGGATTTCTTTTGCCTTAGTCTAAGGGAAACGAGTGGCAGTAGGAACAGGAGAGAGGGGGCCAATCGCATGAGCAGTGGGGCAAAGGGAACACAGTGAATGCTGGAGTTGAGCCCACTTCCTTCCATGCCGTTCAGGATCCTAGCCAGAGTACACTCCTAACTCCGAGACCTAGTTGTGTCTGTCACCAAGCCTTTCAGAAAAGGTGGTCACTCACTACACAGCCTCGTTCTTTAACCTTAACTCTCCTCCGTTCTACTGATGACATTTCCACTCAGGTTACTATGGTCTAGTTGTAAATCAAATACAAGAAAATATATTCTATTGCAGCTGAATTTTTTTCTTTAATATTTATTTACTTATTACGTATACAATATTCTGTCTACAGACCAGAAGAGGGCACCAGATCTCATTACGGATGGTTGTGAGCCACCATGTGGTTGCCGGGAATTGAACTCAGGACCTTTGGAAGGGCAGGCAATGCTCTTAACCGCTGAGCCATCTCTCCAGCCCCTGCAACTGAATTCTTAAAAAAATTTTTTTTAAAAAAAGCGTGTATTGCATGTACAAGCAGAGGTAAGAGAATGGCCTTCAGCTGCTTTCTTTCCACTATAAGAGCCCCCAGAATTGAGCTCAAGCCATTAGGCTTGACGCTAGCTCACCAGCACCTCCCGAGTTCGAATCTGGAAGACATAAAATTTCAGTAGCCATGTGTGTATGGGTGCTTTGCCCACATGTATGTCTGTGGACACTTTTCAAGCCTCTTTTGCCTTCAGAAGCCAAAAAAGAATACTGGGTTCACCAGGACTGGAGCTACACAGTTGTGAACCACCATGTGGGCGCTAAGAACTGAACCTGGGTCCTCTGAAAGGGCAGCCAGTGCTCTTAACTACTGAGCTGTCTCTCCAGCCTAGAACATACTACTTAGCAAATGATGTTCAAAATGCCTCATACATCATTAAATTGACTTCCTTAGGATAGGTATGTCTGTTTTATGCATAAGAAAATTAAAAGTACACGATATGAAATTACATATTGTGGTGGCTTGAGTTAAGAATGGTCCCCAGAGGCTCATATATTTGAACTGTTAGTCCCCACAGAGTGGCACTATTTGAAAGGAGTAGGTGTGGCCCTTGTTGGAGAAAGTGTGTCGCTGAGGGTGGGCTTTGAGGTCTCAAAAGCCCAAGCCACGCCCAGAGTCTGTCTGTCTCTGCTTGTGGACCAGGATGTAACTCTCAGCTGCTGCCAGGCTCCCACCATGATGACAATGGACGAAGTCCACGAAAGACCCCAATTAAATGCTTTCTTTTCTAAGAGTTGCCTTGGTCATGTCTCTTCACAGTACATGGCCAATAAGTGACTAACAATAGCCAAGGTTACTTGGTAGCAGAGCCAAGATTTAAGTTTAGCTTAGGTATACAATTTACACTTAAGTCTCCATAGTAAATAGCTTACTCCAGTTAAAGAAACCATTACAAAAACATAGGGTATAATTTTATTACTTCCAACTTTAATTTTCATCACAATAAAAATAACGCAGCTTTACAAAAATAAATTTTTATTAAAAGCCGTAAAGTCTGAGCAGGAAGACAGTACAAAGAATGTAAACAAGGTACACATCACTACATTCAGCTCAGCCCGATTGAATGCTGAAAAACAAGTCTAAATGCTCTATTGCCCTTGCTAGCAAGATACAGTAATTCTATTTTACAAAGACAACATATTCTAGTTTTCCAGGAAAAAATAGTTTATCGAAGTCGATCCCAACGCCAAATGCTGGCATCATCACACACAGCTATGAGGATGCTGCTATCCCTGCTAAAGCTGGTCTGTCGGATCGCAGCCCCACATTTATGGTGAGTCAGTGTCGTACACCTAGGGAAAAATAAGACAAGAGCTTAAATAGCACACATACTAGTGTTTACACTGAAGAGAGAATAAGAAAATGCTGTTTAGAGCCATCGACATTAAGAATAGCATCCTTCATTCTAGATTTCATTAAGTTTGGTATATTTATGTACTCACCACAGTATAAACACAAGTTAATTAAAAAATTACTTAAACTCTAAAACCTGCAGCTGTTAAAGTAACTGGGCCATGGCCCAACTCAGTGGTAATGCACTTGGTGACATGGCCCAGAGTCAGATCCATGAAAGCCACATGGTGGAAGGTGAGAACTGGTTCCTGCAGGATGTCCTGTGGCCTACACACTGGGGACACGGCACAGGTGCACAGTGGATCACAGCTATTGGTTATTAAGGCTGACATAAAAAGGCTACAGTTTAGAACGTTTTAGAATTTCTGTACTTACTTGGCTTTATGAGGATCTTCTACTTCTAAATCCCAAACATAAAGTTTGCCAACCTGATTGCCCAATGCAAGCATCTGTGTAAACAGTGGAAAGCATAAAGTCAACACAGTACCAAGCGCTACGGTATTTAATCCCTACTAGAGAAGCCTCAGCTCCAGCCTTGATGGCCCCTTAACTGAGTTCTGCATCTTATGTTACTGATTGGTAAGTAAGAATAAGAACAATTACTATTTCCTTGGCATCTTGAGAAACTAGGGCTCTGCCCCATTTCATGAACAGGGGTGTTACGGTACTTTTTCTCTACCTTAGAGTCACACAGAGAATAGGATGCTCTTCCCAAGCTTTCTTAGAGAAATACTCAGTTAATTGTCAGACAAAGCTGCAGCAGCAGAATTTAATGCTTTGGGTAATAGTTAGTCTACCTTCCATGCTGATTGTTCTCTAAGGTTTTCTAGAAGAAAAGCTATGTAAGATGATAAACATTGTATCTTGAACAGGCATCAGGAACCTAACGTTAGCAACCCCTCACTGCTCGCTTCTTCCCTAGCAAACACCGCAGATAATGCGCAGTGCCCAGGAGGCAGCCAGTCGGCAACACAGGACCAGTACAACCAAAGCGCGAGGAGGAGCGTGGACAGAACAGGAAAGGGGACAACGACACGGTGTTTCAGAAGACAAGTCCAAATGGAAAAGTATGTGCTACCTTTTGCCAGAAATCCATAGAAAACCTCATGTACCAAATGTCACACTGGCTGTAATCAAAGCGCCCGAGAATGGTCACATTAGACTCACTGGGTTTGATCTTATCTATATCATCCTCCATTTTGCCAGGTTTCCAGCATACAATGGCATTTTCACAAGACTAAAAGAGAGAAATAAGAGACATGTATTAGAACTGAATTTCTAAAATAAAAGTAAAAGTGCTTACTTTACCATTTTAGACTAGGTCAAACAGCCTGCTTTCCAGGACCATACACAAATTGCTCACTGTCACATCAAGGCTTACACCCGAGGACAAGAGATCTGACTAGCAAAGGAATTAAACAACACAAAAGAATCATGCTATTTGGAATAGTTTCTCTTCCAGAACAAATTAACTAAGTGCGGCTCCAGGTAGGCTGGCACCCAGAGACTCGAGGAGTGCTATAAAAGTTAGAAACCTTAGGACCGCAATAGAAGGCTTTCCACATCTGGCCACTGCTCTCCCAACCCACACACAAAGCAGGAGTGGCTCCCTGGGCCTTGTCATCTACCGAGGCTTCCTGCACAGGGTGGGCACCACATGGTAGATGCTTAGAAGATAGCACAGAAAACTGTTCACTGACAGGATCATAGCTTACAAAGAAGCGACACTGACATGGGGATTGGCTCACAGAGGCCATGGAATTACACTTCTGCTTAACACAGTCTCCCTGTGGCCACTGTTCCAATCACTGTCTCAGTCAGTGGCCCACACTAGCGAGTTTTTGGCAATGCATTTGGCCTCTAGTTAATAAAAGCCAGAGATGTTGCTAAACATCAGCAACCTCTCCCCCAAGCCTGCCGACCTCAACAGTACCTGGACGAGCAGCCCTGCCTCAGTTTCTCAGGCAGTCTATTCAGTCACAGACAGCAGCCCACAAAGAGCGCTACATTCAAACATTTAACCACAGGTTCCAAGGAAGACTCTCCTCTACTTTCTTCAAATGTGGAAATGCTCACGCTAAGTGACATCCCCTACACAGTCACTAACTGCAGTGTCTGACATCACTGGCCCAATGCTGCCCCATTGCAGAGTAAGACTTTTCTCTAATCTTGGCCCAGATGCCAAGCCAGACTCTCACAGCTCCCTGGGGCTTCTTTTGCTACCCTAGACTGGATACCAAGAGAGCAATGACTTAAACATACTAATGGATAAAAACAGTGTGGTGGTTTGAAAGAAAATGACCTCCAAAGGGCGTGGCACAACTAGAAGGTGTGGCCTCATCGGGGGAAGTGTGCCACTGTGGGGGTGGACTTTGAGGGATCTTTTGCTCAGGCTTCCCTCGGTATGACAGTTACGTGCAAGATGTAGGTCTCTCAGCTACCCCAGCCCCATGTCTGCCTGCACACCACCATGCTCCCTGTCTTGTATGAAACTGTAAGAGAGCCACCCCAATTAAATGTTTTCTTTACAAGAGTTGCCATGGTCATGGTGTCTTTTCACATCAACAAAAACCTTAACTAAGACAAACAGAAAGGCCCCAACAAAAGCCTGCGATCCAAGACAGAGACTGAGAACTAAGACAGCAGCAGCCCAATAATAGAACAAAAATTCCACAATAAATGCTCTACTTGACCAAACATCACAGAAAAATCTGTGGAACTACTTCCATTTAAACCTGTTTTAAGAGCTCATTCCTTAGGTCTTAACAAAGTATGTCCCTGGCTCTCCCAACCCTTTGTAGTATAACTCTGTCTGGCCTGGCTAGTATCAGAGAAGGACTGGCAGCCAGGACATCACGAGTAGAGTACAACAGACCATCCACGGAGCCAGTAGAGGTCACCGGTAAGCAGTGGGAAGGTATCCCCTTCTACCTCCTTTAAGGTGGTGTTAGCTGAGGCCTGGTGGGAGCCTGAGCTTCCTTAAGGCAGCGCTGCAATGCTCCTTTCCACAACTGAGGAGGTACTAAAGAAAGCCCTCTAACGAGAGAGGATCTCCAGAAGACCCAAGGGCCAGCTTGGTGACAGAGTGCTTGCCTAGCAGGAGTGAGGTCCTGGTTTGATATTTAGCACCACAAAACAAATGGCTGAACGACAAAGAAAGTCTCCAGAGTCTCATACTACTCAAAACAGTCAGGCCCTAGTAAAATACTATAGCTGTGGTGGCTAATCTTGATTATCAACTTCATGGGACTCAGAACCAACCATATGGAGACAAACACCTTGGCATGTCTGAGGGTTTTCTAGCCTAGGCTGACTGAGGTGGGAAGAGCCTCCCAGCATGTATGTAGGAGCACCGTCCCATGCGCTGGAATCCTGGACTGAATGAAAAGCAAAGAGTCAGCGGAGCAGCACACCCACCGCCCTGCTTCTAAACAAGGCTGCTGCATGCTCCTGCTGCCAGGACTTCTGCACCACAAGAGACCACAATGAACCACTCCTTCCTTCCTTTCTTAAATCGCTCGTCAGGCGTTCTGTCCAATCAACTAGTAACTAATGCTATAAATAAAATGAAAATTTAACTGATGGGCTCAACAAGAGAGAGGAGAATCAGGAATTTTGAAGTCATCCAACAGGACAGTATCCAATCTGAACAGAAAAGGAAACAGATGGAAGAGGAGGTCAGGAGTCAAACAACAACACAGCTAACAAAACCTGAGGGCTAGAGATTGGATAAAAGGCCAGCACTGTGTGTGAAAAATACCAGTATCTCATTTAGTGTCTCAAAGTGAGAGAAATCAGGGCAGGAAAAATCTGAATCATCAGTGATGTAGTTCAAGGACGAGACAAAATATTCCTCTACTATAAACCTAGGACAGAGTCCAGATCACTGAAGTGCAAACATGGCAGTCGGAGTCATCCCCATCTACTATTTAGCCAAAGCTAAAGGAAGGAGAGACTCTGAAAGCAGCTGGGACAGAGGACACAGCTACAGTTACACAGGGAAAAAAGCTAATGACAGAATTTCACACCAGAAGCCCTGGAGGCCAGAGAAGGGGCAGGTATTTTCAAAGCATGGGGGGCATATTTAGTGAAGGTACGTTTAGCAAAGAAGAATATGAACCTTCTACTACAGACCTCTAAATGAATGCCTGCAGGAAGTGTCCTGAGCAGAAAGGAAATGACTTAAGATGGTACCCTACAACTAAGGAAAGGAAGAACAAAAGACAAAAGCAGTAACTACAACGCTCCTTTCCCTGAGATTTCTAAATGATATTTCACTACAAAACTTATACTATCCTATGTGATTCTCAAATATTAATGAAATATTTAAGGCAATTAGACTGTAAACTGGGAAAGGGTTCAGCACTTCCTTTGATTACTATTATGCCGATACACAGTAGACTGAAGTTACATGCATGAAATAAGACATAAAAGCAACCTCCAAACTGCCACACACAGAAACAGAAGTAACAATGCTATAAGGGCCAGTACGATGACTCTGGAGGTGAAAGTCCCCAATGCACTAGCCTCACAATCCGAGTACAATGGTCGATTCCATGCAAGAAGAAGAGAACCAATCCCTGAAAGCTGTCTTCTGACCTCCACATACTGCAGTGGCAGACAAGCACACACTTATGCACACACACACTAAGTAAATAAAAAGGAGATTCTAAAAAGTGTTGTGTTACAGGCATGGAGCTCATGCCTGCAATCCTAGTACTTGAGAGACTGAGGTAGGAGAATCCCAAGTTTGAGGTTAGCCTGGGCTACACAGCATGTACCAGGCTGGCTTGGGTTCATGGTGAGACACCCTGTCTCAACAAACAAACAAGGAAAAGAATTAAAAGAGAAGAGAAGAAAGGAGAAGAAAAAAGGAGGAGAAAGCTCCAAACAAAAATGGAACGTAGGAGGAAGAAACCAGCCCCAAACAAAATGAAACAGAAGGTTCAAATAACCTATAGGAAGTACAGGGTCGGACTCAAAACTAAATAAAGAACAGAAAATAGTGGACTTAACGTTCAGCTTTTTTGGTGGCTAACAATATAAACTGGCAGAAAGGATTTTAAAAGGTCTAAATAAATAAAGGGCTGGGGATGCAGCTCGGTGGTGGTGCTTAGATTCAGTCTTAGTTACTACTCAATACCTCAAGACAAAAGGTTGGGAAAAGATTACAAAAATGAGCTGGGTATAGTGACTCATAAATGAAATCACAGCGCTAAGGAGACTAAGGCAAGAGGATTGCTGACAAGAGGATTCAAGGACAGCACAGACGACACAGCAAGTATCTTTAATCCTGGGCCTCAGGAGGCAGAAGCAGTAGAACAGTCAAAGGCCAGCACAGTCTCTGAAGTGAGTTTCAAGACAGCCAGGGCTATGCAGAGAGACCCTGTCTCACAAAGAAAGAAAGAAAGAGAGAGAGAGAGAGAGAGAGAGAGAGAGAGAGAGAGAGAGAAAAGAAAGAAAAGGAAGGAAAAGAAAACCCTTATTACATGGGGCCTGGTAGAGAGTTCATACAAAAACTTTTTTCAAAAAAATTAAATTATACTTTAAAAAATACCTAAACTTTTTCTTGAACCAGCAAGATGGCTCCATGGATAAAGACCACACCACTCCCTAAGTCTGAGAACCTGAGTTTAATCCCTGGACCACACAGTATAAGGCAGGAACTGATTCCCAAAGCTTCCCTGAGTTCCATGTGTGCACTGTAACACACACACACACACACACACACACACACACACACACACTCACACCTAATTTAAAAGCAAAACAAACAAACAAAAAATTAAGCATTTTTTTAGCCAAAGGCCCAGTTAAAGAGATGAAAAGATTAGCCACCGGCTGAACGAAAAGATTTACAAACGTTTCTGATATAAGATGCATATTCAGAATATATAAAGAACACTCAGATTTCAACAATAAAAATAAAACAAAAACTAAGCCAATTATAAAACCAGCCAAAGATTCAAAGACACAACCCCCAAAAAGGATATGGATGGTGTGATGGCTATTCTTGGATGTCATCTGGACCACATCTGGAATTAACTAAAACCCAATTGGCTGTGTGAGGGGATTTTTTTATTAAATTATTTCATGTGAGAGATTCACTTCTACTCTGAATCTTGAGATGGGAAGACTCTTTAATCCCTAACTTTTGATGTGTGACGAGATACCTTTAATCCGGGAGACACTGTCTCTTGGCAGCCCATATAAGGGACACTTAAGAAGGAAGCCCTCTCTTAGTCCGCTTGCTTTTGCTCTCAATAGCAAGTCCATTCCTTCACTGGCATTAGAACCTATTACTTTGGGATTATGGTGTGATTTAGGATCAGCTGAGACATCCAGTCTTGAGGACTTAATAACTACTAGATTCTTGGACCTTGCACTGATAGGCATACATTGTTGGATTAGCTGGACCACTGCCTAAAGCCATTCTAATGAATTCCATATATACACGGAACCCTGAATACAGAAGGTAAATACACAAATGTAAAGATGCTCAACACATCACTAGAGAGAATGCAAATCACTACACATCTGTTGGAACTAAGTAAATAAAATAATGGTAATACTAAATGCTGGCAATGATACAGAGACACGGGATACTTGCTAGTGAGGGTGTAAAACAGCACTCTGGAAAACAGTGTAGTAGCTTCTCAAAAACTTAACCATTACCCAACAACTGCTCTCCACAGCATTTATCACAGAGAAACAAAAAGTCAAGTCTTATGAAGTTCTGTACACAACTGTCCATCAGCAAGTATGCTGCGGCCCCAGACGTAAAGAACAAGCACAGCCCATAAGATGGTGTTAAACTGACTGTGATGAAGCTTGGGCATGGTAGGGCACACCTCTAACCCAGCACTTGGGAGGCAGAGGCAGGCAGAGCCTGAGGCCTGCATAGTAAATTACAGGCAAGCTAATGCTTCACTAGATTCTCTTTCAAAATAAATAAATGAATACATAAAAGCTAATGAACTAATTGGGATGGTGCCGTGATACCATGGGCTGTGACTCAGCAATGGAAACTAAGAGCTACTTGACCAGCAGCAACTTGGATGACGTCCAGTTAATCGTATTGAGTAAAAAAAACCATAGCATTTTGGAAATGACAAAATTCACGTGACAAAATGATAAGGAACTAAACACACAGCATAGAAATGTTCATTTTCTAGGTTTTTGAGAGCACAGCAGCATAACATAACTACTGACTTATTGCTCCAGTTCCAGGTGATCCAATGCCTTCCTTCTGGCCTAAGGGAGCCATGCAACAACGTATACAGACATACATGCAGGCAAAACACTTATCATACGCATAAAAATATATACTGTAGTAATTATTGAGACATAATAATAATTACTGAGACAAAGTGGGTAATAATGGTCATGCTGAACCTCTCTGAACTATCTTTAAAACTTCCTGTAGTCTATTCCAAGATCAAGAATTTAAGGAGGGGAACATGAAACCAACCCAAGTAAATCTAAACCCAAAGGGAAATGAGATGGACATCTCTGTAACGCCGAGAGGCCTACATGTTCAGAGAACATGGATCAGCCCTCTAGATGACAAGCTGGAAAAAACAAAATTAAACAAAGGAAGATAGTGTCACCCCTCAATTCTCTGGAAGAACTGGCTCCAAACAACAAAGGCTCAAAGACCTCACTGAATGGCGTCATATGCGCACATACTCCCATGTACTGTCAGACGTGGAGTCCATGGATACAGGGCTGGGCATCCACATCCACCGACAAGGCAGAGCAGTGAGCACACTGAAGCCTGGAAGCCAATGACTCTAGCCACCGTTCTTACAAACAGGATTTACTGAGACAATCACAAACACAAGCAGTTCTACTGGTGTGAGTCACTGTTTTCAACATCATTGATCCCCAGGAACAATCGCACGGTCCAAGCTCACTTCTCGTCTTACTGGGGCATAAAGAACTAGTCTAGAGAACTTCTTTCTCCTTGAATAAATAAGTTCAACAATCTACCCAGACTCTTTAAGCAGTTTCTCTCTGCTATTAACAAGTTTTATAATGGTTCCTGCAAAGCACACTCACTCTCTCCCACACACACGCAATGCAAGTACAGCTTAACTCTAGTTTTCCGTACCTTGGAAAGTATCAAATCGCCTAACCATCGCACACAATCAACATAATTCCTATGTATGTCTCTGGTAGAAAAGTCAGGAAAGTGGATTTTCTGGGAAATAAATGGCCTGAAGGAAGAATGGAAATGTAAAAGTTAAAAGAAAAAAAGTGTAGTAGGATCACACTGCTTTTTCAGTCTGGGACTTACACACTGTAACGCTCAGGACCAAACCTAGGGCTTCACACACAGTAGGCTAGCGCTCTGCCTACTGAGCTTCACCTGCCAGCTCCATTCTGAAAACTCTACAAAACAGGAAGTTAATCTCTCTGTGCTTCAAGACAGAATGTATCCATTAATCTGTTGTTTTTGGAGATAAAGTATCCATTTTTCATTTTTACTTTCTTTTATTATCAGCTTTCTGATATAATGTTTAACTTTCCTTTCTAAACTCGGGATTTTAAATTTGGAGCAGGTGAGATGGCAAAAGCACTTGCCACGCAAGCCCGACCTGAGTTCAATGTATGGGACCCACGTACAAGGGGAGGATGAGAAGGAACTCCATAGTTGTCCTCTGACCTCCATTACTGCTAACATATTTGTGAAAAAAACAATAAACAAGGTATTTTGGAGATGGTAAATTAAAAGCACACCACATCTAATCTAGTAAGTGATTCTATGGTATTTATATGCTTTTTTTCTTTCGTTTTTTTTTTTTTTTTTTTTTTGAGGGGCCACAACCCACAGCATCACCCTTGTCAGGCAGGTGTTCAATCAGACCAACCACAGCCATACCCCATCTTTGTGATTCTTTTTTTTTTTTCTCCCTTTTTCTTTTTGAGACAGGGTTTCTCTGTGTATCCCTGGCTGTGGTCCTGGAACCCAGAGATCTGCCTGCCTCTGCCTCCCGAGTGTGGGATTAAAGGCAGGAGTCACTTCTGCCAGGCTGTGATTCACTTTTTCTATTAATCATAGACCTGTGATGGCAACACGTAAAAAGGCAGAGTAAACTCATCATCTCAAACTCTTCCACTTCACGTCTCCTGCTAGGGTGATAAAACGCTATTCACGACTGGACAAAAACAGTGTATACACGTGCCCATGAAAGGTGCACGAAGAGGTCAGAGGCGACCTTGCGCATCTTCCCGCATCATTCTCCACCTCATTTCTGAAACAAGGTCATTCACTGAACTTGAAGCTAGTGGGTTCCTAGGCTTGGAAGCGCCAAGCTCTCCATTCCCCAGCCTAGGGAATACAGGAAGTCAGAGCCAAGCAGGCTTATGGGGTGCTGCAGATTTGAACTCAGGCCTTTCTGCTTTCACAGCAAATGCTCTTCCCCATCCCACCAAGCCAACTTGACATGAAGGATTAACAGTTCCAATTTCAGCTGCTTCCTAATCAAATGCGTATTATATTAACAGTTAAAGCCTTTCAGAAAGACTACAGGAACTGTGAAATATAATTTATTATTTATTCCACAGATCTAACAATCATTTCAAAACATAACTTTTAAAGACAGGGTTTCTCTGAATAGCTTTGGTTCAAATCATAAATTTAGCATTGTACTTGACATTGAATGGCAGAAACCTAAAGCTGTACTAATAATTCTTAAAAGTCAATGAGGTAAGTAAGTGCACTTCAGTGCTTCCTAGAGCTCACAACATTAACAACCTAGTCATAATCGGACTTGAAAACTCTTGGCTAAAATAAAAATACCAAGTAAGCATACTTAAACATATGATGCTTACAGTGAAAGAGGTAACACGTGTGCACATGTTTACAGAGAAAGCACCACTGACAACCCAGTAAGTACTAAAAGGGTAGTTAGACCAAGACCTAAAGCACTTCAAAAGAGGAACAATTGAAACATCTCAAAAATATGGAATCTCCATCCCATGGTATGATGAAATAAGACTCCACAATTTGAATTTTCTCTATTCAATGAAAGAAGCATCATTTATATATAGGAAAATATCAGTATGTATATATGTATATAGCTAGCTAGCTACCGGCTGGGTCTTACTATGCATATAGCCCTAACTGGCCTGAAATTTGTTCTGTAGGCCAGGCTGGCTTCCAATATTCCAACTGACAGAAATGTCCCTGCATCTGCTTCCTCTGTGCTGAAACTAAAGATGTTTATAGCCATGCCCAGCAGGAAAGTATTATTAGCATGAACTATAGCTAGAAAACCAACTGAAAACCACAGTCTACTGTACTGAATTAGAATTCCTACTATGTCTTTCTCCTTCTCTAGTCCACAAAAGGTTCAGGTGATTTAAAACTTTAGTACTTCCAACTTACCGAGTCAAGAACATGCATCATAAATCAAAGAAAGTGAAATGTGCCACCAAATTAGACAAAAACAATTCATTCAAATAAGACTGAAAAAAATTTAAATAAGGGATTCCTTTGGAAAGAGGTGAATTTGATGGCAGGCAGCGATTCCTGGGGGTTTTAAGATAGTAAAGACGGGCTTCTAAAGCAGCAGTGGGGATTAGTTGTCAACGCTCGAGGGGAAGGGAGACACAGCCACACAACAGCGAAGCGTCGGGACTGTCACCTGTTAGTTTTGTTTGGGTTATAATCATAAGAATCCTTGATTGCATTCATCATTCTCTTCGAGTTGATTCTCCAAAGTTTGAGGGAGTGATCCATACCACAGGACATTATTTTTTCACCCAAAAGATCATAATCCTAGAAATAAAACAGAACAGTGCAAATAAGTAAGGTGTAGTCGCAAAGGCTATTTGTCCAGGCTTCACCTGGTGCACGGCACAGTGAACACTGCATTCAGACCACAGCACTAACTGCAGCCCGGGCTTCACCTGGTGCACGGCACAGTGAACACTGCATTCAGACCACAGCACTAACTGCAGCCCGGGCTTCACCTCCAGACACCGCAGGCCACACTGGGATCTCCCACTTAAGTCTTATGCAGATACAATTGGCCTGACATGAAAAACTGAAGCTATACTGCTTTCCTCGTCTCGCTGCAATAGGAAACTAAAGTGGCATTTGCTCCACGGGTCCTTCAACAGTTAAAATTATACTTTTTTTTTGGTACTACTTCAAATTCCATTTACTGAATCCCAGCACAGAGACACGGAAGTGGACATGAAGTCCCACTCCTAGCTGAGGGCTGCTCCGACAGTCAGTTCTTCAGTGGTGTGGCACCGGGTGTATGTACCACACTCCAGGGCACGTCCCATGCCCATGAGCAATCAGCTCACACAATCTGGACTGGGTGGGGAGAAGGAGAGGGAGAGATGGGAATGCTCTAGGAGCTACTTCATAATACATCCTTGTTCATATCGACCCCTCTCCCCCAACAAGGTGGTGGCACACGCCTTTAGTCCCAGCCCTTGGGAGGCAGAAGCAGATGGATCTCTGAGTTCAAGGTCAGTCTGGTCTACAGATTTGAGTTCCAGGTTATCAAGGGCTATGGAAAGACCCTGTCTCCAAAAAGAGAGAAAAGGAAGAATGGAAGGAAAGAAGGAAGGGAGGGAGGGAGGGAGGGAGGGAGGAAAGGAAGGAAGGAACAGTAAAGAATTCTATACAAGGGCTGGAGAGATGGATCAGCAGTTAAGAGGACAGCCTGCTCTCCCTAGAGGTCCTGTGTTCAATTCCTAGCAACCACATGGTGCCCTCTTCTGGCATGCAGGCATACAAGCAGAGAGAACACTGTATACATAATAAATAAATCTTTTTTTTAAAAAAAAAAAGAATTCTATTCAAGAAACTATTTCTATATCAATTTAGATATTCTATAGTGACTCAAATTTGAAAACTATTTACCATAACATGTTTAGTGATTTCATAAATCTACATGCCACTAATTCTCGGTAACTGTCAACAAGGAACCCTTAGAGTCTATGGTTCTGTAAGACTTCCTTTTTAAAAAGATTCCTGATTCTTAAAGGTTCCTTTATCTTTATGTTTTGCAAATATGTCTGCGCTGTGCATGTGTGCAGGGCCTATGGAGGACAGAAGAGGATACCAGATCCCCTGGAACCAGAGTTACAGATGGTCCAGCCCCTCTAAGTCAGACTTCTTTAATGATACAACTTCTAGAAAAATCCAAGTTGACAAGATAGCATTAGGTAGTCATGATCCTCAGAGTTAGAGAAGCCTGACTTTGTGTGTTCTGTCTGCATATCTGTCTATACGCCAAAAGGGGGCGCCAGGTCTCATTACAGATGGTTGTGAGTCACCATGTGGTTGTCGGGAATGAACTCAGGACTTCTAGAAGAGCAGTCAGTGCTCTTAAACCCTTAGCCATTGCTCCAGTACAACTGATTCATCATTAAGTAGTTAGATTAGGAAAGAACATTTCCAGAGAAACAAAGTTAAAAAAAAAAATCAATTAAGTTACCACGCAAAATCTACAACAATGTTAAAAACTTGAATACTTAATAAAGCTGACAGATTACAATATATCAGTATAAAGACGGTACAGGTTTGTCTTTAAGAATCAGGACAGTAAAATGTGTCTGCTGCAAAAGGGACCTGTTACCAAGCCTAAAAACCAGAGTTTGGTCCCTGGAACCACATGACAGAAACAGAGAAGAGACTCCAGCGCCCTGTCTTCTCATCTCTACATGGGGAAGCATTATGTATGGCTTTGTATACTGTGGCTTACTACACCCACTTTGTACTAGCTGGTCTTATGTCAGGTTGAAAGGAAGGAGCCTTAATTGAGAAAATGCCTCCATAAAGGGCTGTAAGGCATTTTCTTAATTAGTTACTGATGGGGTGGCGGTGAGGCAGCCCATTTTGGGTGGTTCTACCCCTGCACTGGTGGTCCTGGCTGAACAAGCAAGAGGAAACAAGTCAGTAAGCAGCACCCCTCCATGGCTTCATCAGCGTCTGCCTTCAGGATCCCGCCCTGCTTGAGTCCTGTCCTGACTTCCTTCAGTGATGAACAGCAATATGGAATCCTTTCCTCTCCAACTTCCTTTTTGTCCATGGTGTTTTCAGTGCAGCAAGAGAAGCCCTAACTAAGACACACCTACTCAATATGCGCGCGCGCACACACACACGCGCACGCACGCACACACACACGCGCACGCACGCACACACACACACTAAAGAAACATTTAAAAAAAAAGAAGCTAGGTGTGGGAGACACAGCCTTTACTCTCATCACCCAGGAAGCAGAGGCAGGCTATCTGGGAGTCAGATGCCAATCTGGTCTACACAGAAAATTCTAGGTCAGATGGTATTATAGTGAAACCTTGCTTGCAAAACACAAAGCAACATTTCTTTAAAACAAAACAAAAAAACCCACAAGACTTCCTAAAAGTGAATCCCTTATTTCAACTTCACACACACAAAATCTCTTATGAATAGTTAAACTTTTGTTCTTTAATAGCAGGGATAAGAAAAAATTAACTTGGTGATTTTAGATTAAATGGAGAAGTTGGGTCTGGTGGAGCATGTCTGTAACCCCACACCCAGAAGGCTGAGACAGAGGCTGGGGATTTCAACACCAGCCTGAGTTACGTGGTAAAACCCTAACTCCAAAACCAACACCAAACTGACAAAAAGGTTCACAATGATCATGGTACTGTATTTATAAAACTGAACAGACAGTGGCTCACAGCCTGCTCTATCCTTTTGGGGCAGAAAGTGTTAATGTCTTTATGTCAAACCGCTGAAATGACTGCCTGGCAGGTTGCATGAAGCAGGCAGTCGTGCATCTGCAGAGGAAAAGGTTCGTTCAGTAGTCACACCACATATCCCAGCTTCAACTTACAGCACTCAGAACTTCATCTCTGTGTCCTTCCACACCTCCGAATATTGCCACAAGTGTGTCCGTTTGGATATTCCATAATCGTAAAGCATGATCTATTATAACACATAAAGTTAAGGTAAAAGTTTATCACTCACTACTGCAAACTTTTAGTATGGCTTTAATAAGTAAAAGTTATGAAAATTTAGATTATGCATAATAAAGACTATTATCTATGATATATACCAACTTAAAATATACCATACGTAGAATGAACTAGAGATATGGTGATGTTAAGTAAATTAAGACTGTCTCAAAAACAAACAAACAAATTAAATGAAAATTACAGCAGACACCGAGGATGTGCTCAGGGCATACCTCGTATGCTCAACGGCAAAACTCCTTCTCCCTTAACCTATCATCTCAGCACTGAGGGGATGTGAAGCAAGAGGACTGACTGCCTTGAGCTCAAAGGCAACCTGGGCTGGCTGTTTGGCATCCATCTATCCATCTATCCATCCATCCTACCTAGAGACCCTATCTCAAACAAATAGTGGTGGCATTCGCCTTCAATCCCAGCACTCCAGAAGCAGGAAAGGCAGTTCGAGGCCAGCCTGGTCTACAGAATATAAATTCCAGACAGCTAGGGCAACACAGAGAAACCCTATCTTGAAAAACCAAAAACCAAAAAAAAAAACAAAACAAAACAAAACACCTTTTGAAAATCCTAACATGGTGATATGTCATTAAATACTGATAAATCAATGTAACTCTTCAGGTGAGGATAAGGTTCTAGAACTATCACAATACAGTAAGTGAGGTTTGTTCTCTAAGTCTTGGTTTATGAGATGCTAATATAGGCTTTTTTTCCTATTAAAACTTTTCTTTTCTTTTAATTTTGATTATTTTCATTTACAACACAACCTGTCTCTTTAAAACAATTATTCCAAAGCAATCTGAACTAAGGAAACATTTGTTTCTGTAAGCTTACCTTTACTTACTGACAGGAGAAGATTTGGGTCTCGTGGGTGGAATTTCAGCTCATTGATAGCATTTCCATGGCCAACATAGTGCTATAATAAATTGAAAACATTTCGTTTCATCTAAAAAACCAGTAAATTCTCTATCATAAACCTTAAGAGAGACAAAAGGGTGGAGGGACAGCTCAGTGGTCGACCACTAGCCTAGCAGACTCAAGGCCCAAGGTTCAATGGTGGAGGTCTGAAAATTTGAAGCTATTTCCAAGGTCAGAGAGTTGGAACTTACGTCCAGTTCCTTCAAAGTTATTGTGCTTCTACCTCGAAGTCTTGCCTGTGCAGTTTAGAGAGTTCTGCTTTCTTAAGGTTACTGTCAACAGGTGTGGCTAATAGCCAGACTTTGTACTCCAGGTATAGAGAAGTAGATTCTTTTACCTCAAACAAGAGTCTAAGGATCCAACTAAGTTCCAGTTCTGTTATGGAGATAACTTAGGATTCCACCCAGGGAGTGGTTTGCCTACAGAATGTTTTGGTGTAGGGTGTGAGAGTGACTCGTTTTGTTCCAGCAACAAAATGTTTAACTGTGGATGTAGCCTATTACTTTCAGTTGGTATATTTCTTTCCTATGTATCATGTAAAAGTAGTTTGTCTTACTCCTACCTTTTGTGGTCAGGGGTATTTTAAGCTGTTAATTTAAGGAAATTAAACATGACTTAAATGCAGGCAAATTTCAGTACTCACTGGAACTCCCTCCCGATATTATCCTATATGTTTCTCTGGTTTATTATTTTCATTCGCGTCTTCATAGTCTTTACTATATTTCTAAATCCCCACACTGCTACCCTGAAGAGAGGTATTTTTGTTGAGGCTGATCCTTGATTTCAACATCCAGCAAAGCTGCCCTCTGCCTCTCAAACAAAAGTGTCATCTAAGTTCTTCCCACCCTTGGACACACTAAAATCACCTAAAAACTGTACAGAAAGAAAATGGGACCAATTGGTCACCACTCAGCTAGCAGCAGATCACCTCCAGGATACCAACGAGCCCCAGGAGAGAAACAGCAGCAGCTACAGTGCCTTCTCATCAGCTTCATGTCTTCACCAGCCTGTCCCTAGAAGGGGGCCCTGGAGCCCACAACTCTTGGGTTCCTTGAAAAAAGTGGTTACTTGGTGTGGGAGGTCCTTCTGTGTGTCGCTTTTATCGGTTAATGAGTAAAGAACTGCTTTGAGCCTATGGCAGAAAAGAACAAAACTAGGTAGGGAAAGTGAGGCTGTATGCTGGGAGAAAGGAGGGCGAAGTCAGAGAGATGCATGGAGCGTGCTGGGAACTTTATAAGCCACAGTCCCATGGTGATATATAGATTAATAGAAATGGGTTAAAATATATGAGTTAACCAATAAGAAACTAGAGCTAATGGGCCAAGCAGTGGCTTAATTAATAACAGTTTCTGTGTGATTATTTCGGGGCTGAGCAGTAGGGGAACAAGTGGCTCCTTCCAACAGTTACTTTTCAGTTAAAGACACCTAAAGCGACCACAAGAAAACCCACAGAACCAACTAACTTGGGCTCATAGGAGCTCAAAGCATCTCAAACAAGGGAATGGTATAGGCCCTCTGAATAGATATGACAGTTGTGTAGCTTGGTCTTCTTATGGGTCCTAACAGTGGAAGCAGGGCTGTCTCCTTTGCCAGATTTCAAGGCCCTACTCATACTGAATTGCCTTGCCCAGCCTTAAGACAAGGGGAGGTGTTTAGTCCTTTTTTTGAGACAGGGTTTGTCTGTAGCTTTGGTGTCTGTCCTGGAACTAGTTCTCATAGACCAGGCTGGCCTCAAACTCAGAGGTCCCCAGTGCTGAGATTAAAGGCGAGCGTCACTACTGCCAGGCTGAGGTGCTTAGTCCTACTGTAACTTGATATGCCGTGTTTTGTTGGTACCCACGGGAAGCCTGCCCTTGTCTGAACATAAATGAAGGAGGAATGGACTGGGGGTGGGGACAGGACAGGGAGGAGATGAGGGAGGGGAAACTTTGGTTGGGATGTAAAACAAATCAGTTTTTTAAAAAAAAAAAAGCATTCAAAGCAAGGAAAGAGAAAAGAAAAGACAAAACAAAACAAGATACTGAGTATGAGTGTGAACACTTTCCTACGTATTCTTTAATTTATATCATCTAATTGTCACAGAGGCTTCAAAGGACTGCTCTAAAGAAAGAAATGGAACTAGCAAGATGGCTTAGTATCAAGGTGGGGCTGGCATGCCGGAAAGGAAAGCATCTGGAAGATGGGAATGGACACCTCTGACTGTCCACGTCCACACGCTTATATACACCGGCATCACACACCCGAAGTGAATAAACACAGTGAGAGAGAAAATAACAAATCAAATGAGGTATTCGTTGTAACCTATGAGTATTCAAAAGCAACAAATGTACAGTCTGACCAGAAGACATACCTTTATACACTGCATGGTTATGGGGTTAATTATCCTTATTATGCCTCTAGAGCCAGCAACAGCAAGCAGAGGGTGGCTGGTGTTGCTATCGTACGTCCATGCACAAGTATAAAAATTTTCATCTGCCTAAGAAACGCCAGAGTTAAGAAATATAATTTATTTTGAAAAATAAACATGTTAACGTCTATAATGACAGGAACCTTTCAAACCGCTAAAGCTTTGGATATTTAAGTGTTCATTTTTTGTCACACAAAATTTGCATAGTGATAGCCAGGTGTACCAGAACTCAAGAGACAGAAACAGGATGATTTTCTCAAATTAAAGGCCAGCTAGGGCTACTCAGCAAAATCCTATGCTAAAAAAAAAATAAGTAATAACTACAGTGGCTGCGCTTTTAGGTCTAAAATCCAAATGAGCGCCTTCCTTGTGTGTCATGCTAACACACTTCTCTTTGGCTGCCTGCAGAGCTACACCCCACCGGAGTACTGCCAAAACAGCCAGCGGCAGGCAGGACTGTCCACCAGGGAACCTTTACCTACAAAGCCACGGTGAGCCTGCAGGCTCACGTTTCCGACCCTGTCCTGATGCCCCCGGGAACCTAACGGTTCATTCTCCACCGTCATTTCCCTGTCATCTACAGAGTCAGCGTCACCTTTCTTCGCTTCCTGTGCCTTTGCAAAAGGATCTGGGAGAAACATCTCACCATTCAGCTTTTTAAAATCCTTTAAAATTTGGCTTTTAAGTTAAGATCTTCCTTTTCTTCGTAGCTAACACTTCAATCATTTTCTAAATGACACACACTTATTTTTTCTATCTCGGCGTTGTTGAGCAAATACTTAGAATGACTGCCAGCTAAGTGGTGTGGGACAATGGTCTACATTCTGTCAATTATATTTCACTAAAACGCTGACTGGCCAGTAGCCACGCAGGAAGTAAAGGCGGGACAACCAGGCAGGAAGAAGAAGGTAGACAAGAACAGGAGAATTCTGGGAAGAGGAAAGTTTGGTCCGCAGGCGTTACCCAGCCACAGAAGGAGCAAGATGTGACTGCCTTGCTGAATAAGGTACCAAGCCACATGGCTAACACAGACAATAATGGGCTAATATAATAAGAAGTCTGAGCTATCAGGTCAATCAGTTTATAACTAATGTAGACCTCTGTGTGATTTCTTGGGACTAAATGGCTGGGGGACCAGGTGGAACAAAAGACCTCAGACAACAGCCAAGTAATACAACTATACTGAAATTGCAAACTCTAGGCTTAGCTGGTCCCTGCTAACCATTTCTACCACTAACACTCAACCCACAATCCCATCGACCTCGTGACAAACTGAAGATCAGGTAAATGAGATTCGAGGATTGATCCCCTTGGGTAACAGTGACAATACTCCTAGCTAAAGATGGGACAGTACCTTTAGGGAACTTTTTAAAGTTTTAGTGTACTTATCAAAACAAATGTCTTAAACCAGAGATACAAAGACAGTAAGAAAAGGATACATCAGCATCTACATAGGACTGCAATAACCGGATTTCCCCTTGCGAATGGCATTCATATAAGGTCACCTAGAGAAACAAGGATATGTATGTCATCTCAGATAAACATTCTCTGGCTCTTAAACATTCTAGTTACAAGTACAACTTAATGACATTACAGAAACTGCTTGACGCAGCTCTGTAAGCTTACCAGTGGCCAGGTAATAGTAGTTGCTATCACCAAATATCTAAATATACATTTCATCCATATAAACACAGCTTTTTCAAAGTGAGCAAAGTTGAAAATTTTAAAATTATGGTTTATCCTCCTTTAATTAACTCTGTAACAAAACACCTTTAGTACCATAAAACAATGATTAAAGAACACCACATAACATATACATGTACCAAAACACCACCTGATGCCCCATAAATATGTACAATTTTTAATGACTATAATTAACACTTTCAAAATTATTACTTAAATCCACTGGATTTATGCTTTCTTTATAGAACAATTAATCACAATTTCTTTTTTTAAACAACAGGCTTCTGGGGAATGGAGAGTCGGCTTAGTGACATGGCATTTGCTCTTCCAGAGGGTCTGTGCCCAGCACCCACACGGCTGCTACCGACCCTCTGCACCTCCAGTTCCAGAGGCTCTGATGCCCTCTGGCCTCCACGAGCACTGCATGCACATGGTGCACAGACCGATATGCAGGCAGCCTACTCACACACAGAAAATGAGACTTTAAAAGTAGATTTCTTTCATATTTGAATGATAAATAGCAGCCAATTCTTTCAGATATTCAAAATATTTATAAACAAAACTATGAAGCCAGCTTCATAACAAATGTCAATAAAAATGTGTTTTCCAGTCATATTAGTTTTAACCCCGACTATTTCTCAAAAGCCTCACTCTTACACAAAAGAATTATACTGGTGAGCCAGCTATTCAGAATTTATTTTAAAGTCATCCCATTACAACACTGTAATTTTAACAGATGCAAAATAATCCCAATCGCCAACCCTCCCCCTTGGCACTCACTCTGTTGCTTCCCACGGTCGCGAACACCAGAGGATCCCCTTCCTTACTGTGCCAATTAAACTGAACTCCAAACAATGGCTGGTTATGATCCTCCTACAAATCCAGGAGACAGGAGAACTGTAACAAATTTCTGCAAACACTAACAAACTGACGTCAATCTTCCCTTCTTTTTCTTCCCCAAATTCAGCTCCCTCACTCCCTTCACACTAGAAGGTTCTCGACTTTTACTTTCCAAGTTGCATTTCAGATTTAGGGCTTTACTACAATCTCTGTGTCCAACACTGACTTCCAAGGTCACTTGAAAGCACCCCCCACCACCCCCCCGAACTTTTAATGTCTTCTAGCTTTTATTTTCTTATCTCTTAGAAATCCAGGGCTTTATGGTTTGGCAATATTTTTAAAAGCACTTAAGAATATCTCCCAGAGTTTGAGAGATGACTCAGCAGTTTTGCAGAGAACCCAACTCCAGACACCAATGGGAAGGGGGGGGGGGGGCTTATAACCTCCTGTAACATTTCCAAGGGAACCCATACACATAATTAAGTAAATCAACAAAAACATCTTCCAGAAAGAGACAGTATCTAACCAGTGAGTTAATATAAATATTAAAAGAGTATTCAGAAAAGGTTTTGTTTGGTTTTTCGAGAGACAGAGTTTGTGTATCAGTCCCGACTGTCCTGGAACTCACTCTGTAGACCAAGCTGGCCTCAAACTCACAGAGATCCACCTGCCTCTGCCTCCTGAGTGCTGGGATTAAAGGCATGCACCACCACCACCTGGCTTTAAGTTTGTTTTAGGCACATTAGTGTATGTTTGTCGCAGAGCAGTGAGTTTTATAATGACTTTTTCCACCTATTCCATGTACTTTTCACTGAATCTATGTATTACCCTCCATTCTCATTAATCCCTGTCTTCCAAGTAATTCCCTTCTGAGTTGTCAATCTCCGTGGCTGAATAAAATTCCTCTCTCTATATACACTTTCTTCACTCAGCTGTTGATGGGAACCCAAGCTGGCCCATGACTTAGTTATCGTGAATAGGGCTCCAATTAAACATGGATGAAGAGGTGTCTCTATGATAGGAGACTCTGAGGCTGGAGGGTAAACATCCTCTGCCCCAGCACTTATCACTGCCCTAACAACCATTCTTACACGAGTGGGACAGAACCAGTGTGGTTTTGATTGACATGTCCTGGCTGCTAAGGATGCTGACCATTTTTCGTGAATCTATTCACCAATTGTGCTTCATGATTTTTTCCTATTTAAATTATTACTGTGTATGTGGGTCACGAAGGGGGAACACAGACCCTCTGGAGCTCAAAGGACAACTCCGCGGAGTCGTTCTTAATGTGGGTTCTGGGGTGACAGTAGGTCTCCAGGCTCACGTGGCCAGTGCCTTCTTTACCTGCTGAGCCATCCGGTCGGTCCTACTTCATCCTTTGAAATGTGTCATTTCATTGCCTGTATATTGACTAGATTTTGGGGGAGGGTGTTAAGTATTTTCTTTCTGAAACCTCTCTGCTGACGCAAATAATCCCAATCAGATCAAATCAGACCAAATTAAAAGATGCCCACGTTTAATAAATGACAATACTCCCAGGTGGCCCCGGGGAAACATGAAGAGGGAAGAGAGAGAAAGGGAGACCATGTGTTCATTCTGGGGCGGGGGACAGTTTACATAGTCTGTGGGGGTAGTCTTGACCTTCCCTGGGGAGGGGTTACTGTTTGGTGAGCTTTCTCAGAGGTGGAGTTTAGACTGAGGCAACTCCCAGGGGAGAGAGCTTACGCCAGGAACTGGGGTGAAGCCTCCAGGCAAACATCCCCAGCTTTACACGTATAAAGGGGTGCCAGGGAGCTGAGGTGATGCTTTGGACCAAACACTCCATACTTTTTGGATAAAGGGGAGTATTGTTACTTATTAAAATGGGCATCCTTTAATTTAGTCTGATTTGGTCTGATTGGGATTATTTGCATCAGCGGAGAGGTTCATTTAAGAAAGAAAATGGTTAACATTTGGAGGTCCCATGGGGGTGGGGGGAGGGGCTGTTTTTCCCACAGGCCCATGGTAGAGAAAGCACCCTTCTCTCCACCAGGCTAGATTGGCTTCATCTGGTGAGTTCCCCTTTCTGAGTACATGCCCATTTGCGTTTGTTTATGTTTGCCGATTTTCTGGAGTCTGGGTCCTGCTAGGCGCCCGATACAAGCCAGGAGCCAGATCTCACTGAGTTGGGACTGAGTGAATAGAGAAGTCTGCCATTCATTTCTCATGACCCCCACCCCCGACCTGTCATGGTGGACACATTGCGACAAGGCTCCTAAAGTCTTTTCAGATCTGAAAGTATGGCATTAACAAAAGAGCTTCTACCACAGAGACACGCCAGCTCCCACAGCATCCTACAGCTCCTCCAAGAAGATACCTGGTTGCAAAAGACCTTCTGCCTCGAGGCTTGCCTTTGGGTATGGCAAAGCCACCTGCACAGCAAAAAGGTGCCTTCCACCTCTTCAGCTTTCTGGATACTACCCAGGGATCGTCTCTTCCTGCCAAGACAGGTAGACTAAATCTCCTCCCCTCAACAGGAAAATCTTCCCGCCTCTTGTACACAGCAGCCAACGGCAAGCACTGCTTCTAAGTGCTGGTGTTCTCCAAGGACTAAGGAGAGACTTGAGATTGCCTGTGTAGCTAAAAAAGCTGTCTCATTTCTGCTCACTTATCCCAGATCTGCTAAAGGCATTGATGACTTAAGGTACTGGTAGCTCATTACTTCATTTGTTAAGTTTCCTGCTAAAATACAGACGAGTGTGCCTCTTTAACAGGCTTCATAGTCCAGGACTAACAGGATTCAGAGTTCTCAATTCCCTTTAACTGTCTTCTAAACTGTTCCTGTTCCAGTTGTCTTACAGACAACTGCAAGTTCCTGAAAAAGTCCTGCTGCTTTATCAAGAAATCTGGTCTGGTAAAAACTAGCAGTCTCCAGAGCGTATTTTAACCCCACCCATATTCAAGCATATTTTACAGGTCACTCCTGCTGTCTGGGCCAAGATCAACTTACAAAGCGCTCTCCAGACAATGCCAACACCTGCACCAGCTCCTGGGACTTCACCACTGGTACCAACTCTCCTGGCTCAAGGACACCTAGAACTAAACTCTGGTTTTATCTGCTCTTGTGTCCCACTTATACACCCGAGCCTCACCTGTACAACCAGGGCACTTCTCTGTCCCATTCTTTCTGGCAGTTAATGACCCTTCCCATGACTAGCCCCGTTCACAGGGCCAATAATAACATTTTTTCTCCTAGCACCTGCCTTCTCATCTTCTTCAAGAAACAGCCGCCTGAGGTCTCCAGGATGACAGCAAAGCGGATGCTGCTCCAGCCACCCCTCTCGCTGAGCGTGAGCCCAACTCCCAGCTCTCCCTTCTCCCACATCGCCCCATGCCCACAGGAAGTAGCCAGACTTGAGCTGGTGCCCTTTTATCCAAGGAATCTAAAATGTTTGGTTAAGGGGCTTCACCTCAGCTCGCTGGCACCTCTTTATCCAAAAAGTCTGGATTGTTTGCCTGGGGGCTTCAACCCAGCTCCTGGCATAAGCTTCCTCCCCTGGGAGTTGCCTCAGTCTAAACTCCACCTCCAAGGAAGCCCACCAAACGGTAACCCCTCCCCAGGGAAGGTCAAGACCACCCCCACAGGTCTTATAAACTGCCCCTCAGAGAATGAACATGTGGTCTCTGGGTTACCTGTGGTCTCCCCTTCTCTCTCTTCCCTCCCTCTCCACCTGGGAGTATTGCCATTTATTAAACGTGGGCATCTTTTAATTCAGTCTGATTCGGCGTGATTGGGATTATTTGCGTCAGCAGAGAGGTTCGTTTAAGAAAATACTTAACAGGAGTAATTTTTAAAAATTAATTTGTATATTCTAGATATTATTATTAATGCATAGAAAATAAAGGTTTTCTCAAAAAGTTTAAACTTACATCTATAGAAGATAGTGTATATATTTCTTCAAGGTAAAAAAAGCCCACAAAATTTAGAAAACATTAAATGAACATAGAAAACATTTAAAGTAAACTGCAAAAGATCTGACAACAAACCAGTGGTTTCTTTTTATAAACTAATGAAAATGGTACTGAGACACAATTTAACTCCAACTCCTTCTTTCCCCTAAATATAACACACACTTAGGGTATTAAACTCGGCACAGTGCTCACACCTACAATCACAGCAATCACGGAAGACTGAGCTGTGCCAGGTGCTGGCGGTCTATACAGTGAGTTCCAGGACAACCAGGGCTACACAGAGACACCTGTCTCATGGAAAAAAAAAAAAAAAAAAAAAAAAAAGCTGTGACTAGTTTGAGGTCAGCCCAGGTTAAATAGTGAGACCCATCTTTTAAAAACATACATTACCACGAAGTGGTGGCACACACCTTTAACCCCAGCACGTGAGAAGCAGAGACATGCGGGATTGGGAGTTAAAGAACAGCCAGAGCCTCAGAGAAACCCTGTCTCGAAAAACCAAAATCAAGTAAATAAAAAAAAAAAATACACTGATTTGGGTGCTGGAGAGACAGATGGCTCAGCAGTTAAGAGCGTTGCTCTCCCAGAGGACCCACACTGCAGCGTGCACTGGGCCTTGTCCTCAGGGAAGCACTAAGAACCAGGGATGTGAGTCACACAGGGGTGTCACCTCAATGGAGGAGTTAAAATCAAATACCTGCACTACATTCAGAAAGCTGAGTGGAGGTTTTTAAACAACCTGGTGACCATTTTGCTATCTGAAGGGACAGACTTCATCCTAATCCCCAGAATGATTACCCAGACTCTTCCCTCCCTATCCATTACCCATCCTTGGATGTCACAGTACTTATGGTCGCTGACCTCTGCGCTATCAGTCAGGGACCACACTAGATTCTAGGCCTTTTGGCTACAGAACCCTCTCTCATGGTCACGTGCACTTTATGAAAGAGTCACTGTGCAGTCACACCTTAAGGGCTATTGTGTACCTGAAACACATGGGAATTATTGTTGCCTGGAGACCCTTTTCCAAATTTTATTGTGTTTAAACATAGCTACAATACTGGTCTACTAAGTGAGTTCCAGGACAGGCTCCAAAACTACACAGAGAAACCCTAACTCAAAAACAAACAAAAAGGCCTACAATAAACCTCCTGGTCTAGACTCCCTGGGGTCTGACCCAGGCTGATGACATCAATCTGCACTGGGTGTCCATTCTCATCTCTTCTTGTGGTTTGCTTCCCTGGATGACACCTGCAGGGACCCACTAGCCACACATATGGCTGTCAGAGAAGGACCTCAGGAATCAGCTCTGTTCCACCACCTGGGCTGCAAGGATAAAACTCAGGTTCTCAGGCTTAGCAAACATCCTGACCCACTGAGCCATCTGGCTGGCCCCCAAACCCCAAAGCTTTTAACATGTCACACTGTTTTCCTATCAGACAATTACAAGCAAATGCTGAACATGTTTTAAAACTGTAAAGTGCAGGCATGTTGAAGTTTACTAGGGTCCAGTTAACAGATCACTCGGCTATGTTTAATATCGGATCAACAGATAAAGCAACAACAGCCTGCAGCTCAGTATTAAAGATTTAAAGGAAAACACAACAAATAAAGCTCAAATGACTTCATGTATGGACCACCACATGCAGTTTAAACAAACAAGTCTTTCAAACACTGTCATTTGAAGATATTTTACACCTAAGGGTATCCTGTATGTCCCTCAGAAGTCGCACCAAGCAAAACTGGGGGTGGGGGCGGCGCACAGGGTCCCAGCCCTGACTTAAACGCCATGGCAATGGCCGAACTGAAGCCAGGAGTACCCTGGACACAGAGAGGGGTGCACTGTGGGGAAAGGGGACTTTCTGGGGGCTCTAGTCCAGAAGTTGCAAGCCCCGCTTTCCTGTACATACCTTGAGGCTGTTCACACACTTGAAAGAGTATTTGCATTTCTTCGACTTCCATTTTCCCTTCCCCCAGCTTTTCCTCCCGGGCGCGTTGGGTGTATTTGTAGGTGTGTCGGGGCGTTCTGTGTTTGTGCCACTCTCGATACTGACAGCATCATCCTGTGTGCAGTAAAACCAGGAACAAATTCATCAGGCAGAGCCGCACGAGGTGTTTAAAGGATAAGGACTAACTTAAAAGCATGCAGGAAATGGGACATGATCCCCTGGCTGCAGCTGGAGATTTAGGAAGTAAAATCCAGTTATGCATTAGGGCACTGGGGGATACTTTACACCACAGTGAAAGCAACAACAAAATGCTCAGAAAGATAGCAAAAGGGTAACTTAGCTTTAAGTAAGACGCTGGCCTATGCCAGCGACACTAATACAATTAAGTCTTCATTTGCCGTACAAAGCTCTATGGAAAAGCCACTAATTAGACAACGAAATCTTATTCAGTAAAACTAACTGTCCTCTTGCTGGTGAAGAGTTGCTAGGATTCAATACCTCACTAACATCTAATAACCATATAAATTCAATAAATCCGACCGGTCTACACATCTTCATAATTTGACTACAGCTCAAGTGGAAGCCAGTGTAGACACCACACGGTCAGCGCGGCAGGAGTGTTAACACTTATTTATAAATAACACAAACCACTCAGAATTTTAAGGACGTTTAAAGAAGTCCCTCATCGTCCACACCATGTGTAGAGGCATCCGCCTCACAGTCTGAACACCACTCCATACACGTGACCTCTGTATACCGTCATTTACGTAGAAATGGACACGGCTTGAGGAAAAACTGAAAACTCTTTCAACTCCTCAACAGTCCAGAACCCACACGGAAGTCTTCTCAGGAATAGGAAGATTCCCATCTATTGCCCTGGGGCAGTCAGGAGTCGCTAAACCATTCCTGAGGAACCCTTTGTCAGGGTGTGGCTAAGAGCTACTAGGTTGAAGCCAGGAAGTCTACACTGCTTTTGTGGTCTAAGGTCTGCCTTTGTGGTCTAAGTCTGCTTTATACTACAGAAGGTTAAAAATAAATTGAAGTGTCAAAAGGTATTTTTTAAAAAATCACTAATTCGTTTAAAAAACATTAGTTCGTAAGGTTTTTTCAAACTTCACACTGGTCCAAAACAAAATGCCTTCTATTCTAGAACATATTTATTACCTAACACCAGAAAAGAACGGAAGCTAGGCATCGTGTCTCACGCCTATAATCCCAGTACTCGGAATGCTGAGGCAGGAGAACAGCCATTAGTTTAAGGTTAGCCTGTGAGACTCTAACGAAAACAAGCAAAAACACCCAAAGCAGGAAGTACTCCCCACAAAGTAGGTGCTTAATAAATATTTGAATTGCAATTTAATGTAAGTGTACAATTCGTTTCTATGGAAATTTAAAATGTTACAAGCTTAAACTGGGTTCCTAAATTGAAATCAATTTTGGCTAGACACGTGTTTCCCCAGCAATTGGGAAGTAATGACAGAAGGAACCCAGCCAGCATGTACATAACAAGATCCTGAATAAAAAAATAAAATAAAATAATCACTATCTGTTGCGCCTCACCTGTCAATCATTCTTAAATGCAAAAGGTTCTCATTTTCTATTTTGAGGTTCCATCCCCTATTACAATTGCTGCAGATCCTTTAAAAAAAAAAAATCAGCCTATCACTTCTACCAATGGTTCCAGCAAAACCTGGTGTTTACTGTGCCGAGAAATACATATATATTACTCCATCTAAATGGGGAGCAAGTTATGGTGGCTCAGGTCTTGATTCCAACACTCAGTTGGCAGGGGCAAATGGATCTCTGAGTTCAAGGCCAACCTGGACACAATGGACTTCCAAGCCCACCAAAAGTGCAAAGTGAGACCCCGTTTCAAAAACTAGAAATTTAGGGCTGGAGAGATGGCTCAGAGGTTAAGAGCACTGACTGCTCTTCCAGAGGTCCTGCGTTCAATTCCCAGTAACCACATGGTGGCTCACAACCACCTGTAATGAGATCTGGTGCCCTCTTCTGGCCTGCGTGCAAACATGGAGGCTGAACACTGCATAATAATTAAATAAATGTTTAAAAAAAAACCTAGAAATTTAATTAAAAAATAAAACCAAATACAACACAGGGAAGCACACCTTTTGCTCTGGACTGAACCTGGGGCCTCCTATATGGCCGGCATGTGCTTTACAAACGTGCTTTATGCCTCCAGCCTTCTAAAAAAATTTAAATAGACTTATTAAATAGATTCTAAAGTTTTATTCTTGATTTGTTTCTCACCTTATATACTTTTTCTATGTACCTATAGTATACTGCAGGGCCTGGAGGTGCACAAGTGAATTTTGGGTACTGATAGAGTACCCAGAAGATAACAGGTTTGAGGGGCAGCCTGTGCTATCTAGGGAGATTCTGACTCAAAAAAGACCAAGTTTTTTTCGGAGACGACCCCATACCAAAAGCTCAATCTCGTTCCTATCAATCACTCGGTTATGGGTGGTTTCAGAAAGCACTATATATATAATATATATATTATATATATATATATTCCCCTTAAGAGTCTGTAAAAAGAAAATACGCTTTCTCTTAATTTTCCCCCTGCCAATTTCCTCCTCGTAAACAAATTGACATTTTCATTAAATTCTGGGTAATTAAGCATACGAAAAAGCCAAAGCCAAACTCTACACTACACAATCACAATCTAAGTAACTAATTATTAGAACACGTGTACAGGACTTTTCACAACACTTGTATAGCACTTTTTACGGGGCAGCATTTCTCTAAGCAGTGTGACTTCGCTTAATCTTCATACTCGCTCAAATACACCGGTCTTTACCACGATCGCCTGAAAAACCTTCCAATCTCTTTACATTAAGTAAAAACTTTCAAATTGCCCCCTCCCTGGCCGACGCGAAGGCACGCCCCACTTTCACGGAAAGGAGCATGCCTTAGCCCAGTCACGCACACCCGAGCCAAAGGGCTTTCCTTCCCATCCTGATATCCTGATCCCGCAGGGCTCTACGGAGTGACGCAGTTCCTCCCTTTGGAAGACCTTCTACCAACTTTCCTCGGGAAACACAATCTCTTACCCGGAGCATGCCTCTGAAACTCGGACAATCTCAGATTCGCAGTCCCCGGCAAGTCCCTCAAAGGCGCAAACTAACTCCTCCTCCCCCACAAGGATGATCGGAGCAGACCTCGCCGAACTCGGGACCCTTAATCCGCTCCTTCACCAACTTTCCGCTTGCTAACGGAAGCCGCAGTCCCGGACAATTCGAATCCCTCGGACAAGTTGGATTTCCCCGCACGCCCGCGTTTTCCTGAGCGCGGGGTGACACCTTTCCCTGCCCCCACGGCCGCCCTCCCGCCTGCCCGCCCGCCTGCCCAGTTTCCAAAGATCCTAAAACTTGAAACTCCACGGTCCCGGGACAGCCAGGGCTGCACTCACA